ATAAAAAATAAATTTATCGCAACAGGCACGTTATTACAATACACTACATCACATACTTCAGAAAAGTAAGGTTTAATTTCATCGTCACGACGTCGAAAATTAGAAAACTTCGTACTAAGAGAAAGTAAATTCCAGTAATTTTCCACGACACAGGAGAACATTCAAGATTGGAGCAACGTTTATTAAAAAAAAAGACCTGACCTTTTGGTTCCGTCCAAATAATTAAATCGTCTAGGTTTCTGTTTAGCCCAACCTTAAAAAGAAACTCTCACAAAACACAACATTTATGCTATTGACTCGTCACAGAAAAATTTAAATAGTCCAAATAGCACTGCTCAATTAGTGACGACATATTTATAAAATAAATAATAATAATAAAAATCGTTTATTTGCAAAACAGGTTTTTGTGCTTACAATATTGTGATTGAAGCCTCCTTTTAAGCAAGATGTGCCTGTGTTAGGAGACTTCGCTCTTTTACAACAAAGCGTACATAGTTATTATGCAAATATGACGTTATCCATTATATGATTAGCATGCAAAATAATACTAAAAATTAAGGAGAACAAACCTCTAGGTGCTAAGTAGGTAATTAATTTGTGTGTGTGACTGTAAGCGTAAGCGTGTGTGCGTGTGCGTGTATGTGTTTGTTTGTGTGTGTGTGTGTGTGTGTGGTGTTTGTTTGCTTGTTTGTGTGTGCGTGCGTGCGAGCGTGTGTGTGCGTGCGTGTGCGTGCGTGTGTGTTTGTGTGTGTGTGTGTGTGTGTGTGTGTGTGTGTGTGTGTGTGTGTATATGTGTGTGTGTGTGTGTGTGTGTGTGTGTGTCAAGGTACGTGTTGAAGTAGTGCCTCGGTTTCATTATACGTAAGTGTTTTTATCCATTCACATATGGTTTTTTTTGAGTCATAATAGTTTTTTGAATAAATATACACGTATTTATTGACTCTGTTATAAAGTTGCGCAGACCGTTTGCAGAATTGTATACTGGCAAATAGGGTCCTTGTTTGAGGGACTCTTACTACAGTATCTTTTCTTCTTTTTGATTGTAGACTGGTGTCAAAAGCAACGGACTTATGTTTTTTCAAAGTAATTTGTATAATATAAAGTTTCCGAACCGAGAGCAAGTTGCTAATTTTATATAAAGTTTCGGTTGGGAATCTTTTTTTTTAAAGTACATACACTTGATTATTCTGAAAACTTTGGATGCTGAGATGTAAAAGTTAAATCGTCCACGTAATAAAAAGAAATCCGGGATGTTCTAACACTTTCGTAGCATATAAAGAATCTACCTAACGTAAATAAATTTGAATTTAGCAAAAACAATACTTGCAAAGTGGACCACATATACCTGTACAATATACCTGTCACAAGACAAAACAAAACTGTAACATATTTTTAATGGGAATATAATAGGTATTTAGAGATACTGCTAATAAAAATCATAACAAAGTTCACGTGACAAAAGGACTGTTTACTAGTGTTATTTTTTCATTGAAAAATAAATAACAATTTTAATTGATCTTATTTCGTTATCATACTTATATTGACAAATTAATGATTATAATAACCATTTACCGCCACTGGCGGTACTCGTATTGTGGACTCGTATTTTTTATATTGAATTGATTGTAAGTGGAAGCCGTAGTAGCCCCGATTATATCAGGTGGATACTGTGTTTTATAAATTGTGTCACTAGGGCTACAGTTAGTCACAGGAGTTCAAATCAGTCATACGATGACGAAAAACGCGCCAGTAGCACCTTTTCTTAAATATTAACCTGCTATCTACGCCCTGATTTAATTTAACGTAACGCCCAGTTTTAGAGCTCCTTTCAATTAATTCCTGCCCATATTCATTTTTATTCCAGAATAAATTCATATAAAAATAGTCTTACGTTAATCTAGTTAGTACAATTTAACAAACTTTACTGATAACTACATATTTGTTGAATTCTATAACATAACACAACAAAGGCACAACGTTTTTTTGTCTAATCACTTTTGAGTAAAATCATTTACATTAAGTATATTTTATTCTAAAATTCGAAAATCAAATGTTAACAATCATGCCTTAAAATAGTTACGCTACCCGCTTACAGAGGGAGCAATTACAAACTTGCCGGAGTAATTCCATTATTGTTTAAAAAATGAAATTACAATATTTACTTATGGTAATTTATGTTGACCTGAAAATATTACTCTATGTATAACATTTCAATCAATACTTGAGCGTAATATTTTTGATCATTAATAGTGCTTATCATAGAACTCGATACCTACATGAATAGGTAATGTATACGTCTAATACAATAATTAGCTACTTCTTATATTTAAAAATAATGTGATAGGTATTTGAAATATATAAAATTGAAAGTAATTTTGATATATTATAAAATATTGGTTTGGGTATAAGTATTTGTTTTCTAACATAATGGGAACCGACTCTAGAAGTTATCTAACTTCTAAGAAATAGTGATTAGATTGTCAAACTGAATGAAAAAAGTAACCCTGAAGTTTTATGCTCGGTCTGTATACCCTAGGAATTAACACTTTGGAACAAGCTAAATAACAAAACTATCAAAACGAATTTGGTGAAAATCCAGTGATAAAAATGTCGTTGCGGAGCGGCACACAATGTGACGTGCGGCGTGTCGTTTTTTAAACGTTGGTACTAGGATGCTATAAGTGTCAAGAGCCACGCCGAGTAGGAAAAGGGTCATTACGCTAGAAAAGGATAGTGGTAGCGGGTATATCTTTCTTGCTCACGCTCTTCACAGAACTACCCTAAGCTCCACCCCTTACACTTTTAAAGCTTTCCTCGGAGGTATGACTATTATCAGCAAAAATAAGAACTTTTTTATGTTTTATCGAACTAACGGAGCATGTTTTATGAGCAATAAAGGTACGCATCAAAATGAATTAATAATTAGGCCATAATCTGGATAATTTGGGCAACCAAGGTTACAATCATTATCGTTATCATTCATTTATTGCATTTCATGTTGTTTACAAGTTGTTTCATTATGATATAATACAATTTTCACCAAGCTAAAGATAGTGTAGTTTCAAACAAGTCAATTCAATACTTGTTCTGAAAACTTTATACAGATTATCTATGAAATATCACGTTGTGACTTCATATCTGTTTACGTCAAGTAACATATATAATTTGTTTAAATTATCTTAAAATAAATATGAATGACGTTGTACGTATATGTCGTACACAAGCTCTTACCCTCGGCTTCGCTCCCGTCATTTCATTACATTTTTAAATTTTACATTACTAACTGTGCAATACGTTTTATAGTAAGTCGGAATCCGACACTCCGAGTGTAAGTGATGAGACGATTATCCCACCTCAGAATAGAAAAAAGAACAGATAATATTTAAGGACCATATTGCTGCGCTCCGATTACCTATACCAAGGCGATGTCGTCTCAAAATTCATTTATTTTGTCTACTAGATCTTTATCAATCCAACCCGAAAAGGTTTCGTAACAAAACCTTCACATGCAGGGAACACATATGTAAGATATATGGCGTCTCGTGTCGCCAACGTCTTCAAGGCACCAGCAGGCATCAAACTTTTTGAATTACGACTGTCGTGTCCCGTACACTATGTCTAGTAACACGATGGCTTTTATCGTTCGACATTTGAACATAAAAATACTACCATATACACGTATTATGTAGTACATAATCGCGTCGTTTTCTGCTTAGTCTTCTAGTTTCATCCATACGCATTCAACGGCTTTTTTCCAAATTAATTCGTGGAAATCGATACGTCTCGGATAAATATTTTGTGATCAAATATAGCGATGTAACGGTTTATGATATCCGAGTTCAAATGTAGTGGTAGTGCCTCCATTTACATTCGGCATATAAAGCGCGGTAAACAACTGCTTACATTAAATTGTGATACAGGATTTAAGAAATTTTCCAGAATGGATATGTCAGTGCTGGGAAAAGTTATAAGCAATTTTGTAAGTACTCATTAAAACAAGTTATGTAGATATTACAATGAGGCCTACATAATCATAGTTAATAAATTCTATATTTAAATGTTTTTTTATATATTTTATTGAAAATAACGGCTAACTCCAGGAAAAAATCTGAGAAAAACTCTACTAGTTTGATAAATCAGGTATTTCTCACGATAGTTTTTATTAAAAAATGTTTTGAATTATGTTAAACTATATCAAGTCATTTTCACTTACTTACCTAAGATACTTCTACTTTTATATAGCTGACTTTATGTATATTCTAGAGGTATTTTATTTTGTTCCAGTATTTTTGTTTTCAAGGAACCTCAAATTTATTTATCGATTTATAGAGTGAAACAAATTAATGGAAAATGTTCAAAACCATTTATTATTCGCTATTATAGTAAAGTTGCATGTTGAAACATATTCTATTAATAGAAGCGAAGACTGTAAAAGTCCATTACCATTCTAAAAGCTGAACTTCAAAAGCAATTAGAAGCAGGATTAATATTAAAAAATTTTAATTTGATTGTTTTATCAGCGTAACACAATAAATAAGCATGCGATCCGGTTTGTTGCCACAAAAATCCATTACAAACCTGTCAGTATTATTATTAGAGAAATTTAATTTTAATAACTAAGTTTCGTTAATGCTTGTTGTCTATGAAACAATAAGTTATTTGCGTGTCTTGAACAGCATTATGGGAAAGTGCGGTGCCGTGCCATCCCCCTTCACGGCCCTGCCTTAATGAAACCCATCTATCTGTTTATTAATTTACATTTTACAATTTGACTCCTAGGGCCCTAGGCTAGTTCGAGACAGACCGCAACCAGGCGCCGTCATGCTTGTTGCAAAATAATCAAACTAAAAAACAACACCTAGGTTTATAAAACAAACTTGAAACACGCGAATGAAACTTTTTAGTTAGAATATAAGTCATAGAAAAGCTGAGACACAACTGAAATATTTCAAGATATTAAGCTGTGTATTTTTCTTTACTCGGTTCTGGATTAAGTCAGAATGTTCGTCCACGGTATTAAACCTGGTTCTAGTGAAGAAGAAGAGGAGGAAGATGTCATGGATATTCTCATGGTCTGTCCTGGAGAGATCTCTGTGTCGATTTAAAATTCAAGGTTTTGATGATTTCAATTTATTACACAGAAAAGAAGAGAAGAATGCGAGCGCAAGGCGAGGAGGGGGGAGATGGATCCCCGGCTGGAATTCACCTTCCAGCTCCTGATAGATGGCACCGGACTTCCACGTCATGCCATCATGGATCATGTGTTCGAAGGAAATATGGTACAGAATTTAACAGTCTGCGCTAAAAGTTTTGTTGTGTAGTGTGGTCTTAGGTGTTAAATAAGTTATTAGAAGGTAGTTTTTTGTTCCTTGATCTGTTTTGGTTTCTATTACTTATTAAATTTAATGAGTTGAAATCTACAGCTGGATGACATCAACCAGCTGTTCCTTCCACACATGCGGAACAAGCTCCTATGGTACTACCAAGACGTGGAAGAGATAGAACATCGCCCGATCCCAGAAGGAACAAAGAAAGGGCAAGGAAAACCCCCACCACCCATAATAACCTTGAAGAAGAAGTTGTTTCTTTCGGACGGTTGGGATGTGCGATTTACAGGCGTCTGTATTTACATGTTCCGTATAAATGTCAGCAAGCAATTGCCAGAAGAAGGGTTCCATAAAGATCTGTGAGTTTACCTTGCTTTAAAAATAATAATAATTTATTATTTTTAGATAGCTTTAAGTGGTATATATTTTTTTTAATCTTTTTACTTTGTATTCAGTTTTTGTGGCATACTGAACGCTCAGCAAGTAGGTTTGGTGACGGCTATAGAACGAGTTATGGAACACGTGTACATGAACGCGCTGGCACATCCCAGCAGCGACGGAGAAGAAGACGAAACGAGATTTCCCATTGTGAAGAATCAACTGTTACCGGGGCTAAGGTCTTTCTGCAGCGCTCTCAAAGGTTTGTAATATTAATAATAAAGTTTCAAAAAAAATTATACATTCTATATTTAAAGAAAAATCTTACTATTTGTTTATTTCGTAGATTGTGTTTCATGTAACAAAAATACATACATGCTTACGTTGAAGGTATTAAAAGTTCCACAAAAGGAATATTATAACATAACTAAGACGATTGTTATTTTTAACATCGGAATTCAATAATCTATCACAATCAATATATTGATTATATTACACATACATCCATAAGTAGGTTTCGTTCAAGTATTATATTAGTATTATTAGTTTGTTTGGAAAAAATGTGGTTCTATTATCCAATTGCGTACGTTATTTTCAATTAAATACTTGTGCTTTCAGTATGCGAGGACGTTTGCAACCAAGTGAACCTATTTGACGATGGCCAGGCTCACATGGCTGAGCTACAGGATCATACCCAACTTAAAGACATGGCAAAGAATCCCACTACTATAACTATGTTAGAAGATCGAGTCAATGAATGGATCAAAAAAGTAATGGAGGTACGTTTTGATTGAATAAGTTGAATCTATGTTTTGGATGATAAATTTGTGGGTAAAAGAAACGAATGGTTTCTTTCTTCTAGACGATCATGTGACCCTAAAATTAATAATAAAATTAATATTTTTTAGATACTTAGTGAAAGCGAGCAACTGAGACGTGAAGTGGACTCCAGTGGCCCACAAGATGAATTGGAATACTGGAAAAAGAGAGGTGCCCAATTCTCACAACTGGTTTCGTATTTACAGGTATTCCTAAAGTTTGTGTAGGTATTAATATTGTATTTGAATTATCTAAAGTAAAAAACAATACTTATAAGAAATATCCGCAAATACTTTTAGTCATCTAAAAAGTTTATTTTTATAACTTTTAAAAATAAATAATATGTAATAAGTAAATAGATTTTTTCGCATTTTGATTGAAAATGATAGAACACGAGGACATGAGTCTGAATCATAATCTGGCCGCCTAATAAATATACTTTCCACTCAATACAACAAATGTAACAAGTTGAATCTTCCTTGAATTTCCTGATTATTTATTTTTACTTTCCCAGGACAACGAGGTACAACTCACATTAAGTTGTCTGCAAATTGCTAATTCGAAAGTGATCAAACTTTGGCGAGACACCGACCATAAGATAACATTCTGTTACAACGAAGCAAAGGATAATGCCAAGTTTATACAAGCGATGGAGAAGTGTTGCCATTCATTGTACCTGGATGATCCTGTGAAGATTAGGGAATCTATACTAAGCTTGTTGCAGACTGTCCGGCTGATACATAGTGTGTCTCAGTTCTATAATACATCAGAGAGAATATCTTCCTTGATGGTGAAGGTAGGGATTCCAAATTAACCGTGTATTGTAGTCAGTAGAGAATAGCGGAGTTGAAAAAGTAACGATTTATCAAGACACTAAATCATTATACCTTTTAGTATCTACCGAAGGGGTCAGAAAAAATTTACATTGATAAACTCTATTATCTACACCTAAGTATGATCTCTATGCTATTGCTGATTTCCTATTAAGAAAATCTGCATACTCCGTGGGAACAAATGAGATGCCTTGCTCGGTGATCGTGTTATTCATAAGTGACATCAAATTATGAGGGTTTCTTTTATCAAGCTCAATAATATTAATAATAACGTTTAATTTAAAATATCGAATGCTGTTATATTTATTTTTTATTTTCATTTTACAGATAACTAATCAAATGATAGAAACGTGCAAGCAATACATAACCTGCCGATTCAAAGAAACAATATGGTCTCAAGAGCGTGCCTTAGTTCGAGACAAATTAATCCATTGCATCAATCTGAATAAGACTTACAGAGAGACTTATCTGTTTGTCAAAAACCAACCGTTTTTACCAAACACAGAACAATTTAGTTTTTCGGAAAATTACGTCTTTGGAAAATTTGATACGTTCTGCAAGAGGCTTAATAAAATAATAGCTATGTTTGACTTGATGGACGATTACAACAACCTCTTTGAAAAGAGGATGGAAGGGTTGTTGTTGGGAGAAGGTAAGTTTTGTACCAAAAAGATGTCTCTTTTCCAAAGCTAGACCTTACGCGTGGATAATGTTAAAAAATATCTAATGTTTATAAATTATAATACAATACCGGAATCAAATAGAGTTTATAATATTGAAAATGAAAATATAATAATAGCGACATCTAGACAAAGTCTCATGAATTAATCGGTATCCTAGCGACACCGGAGACCACTTGGTTTCCACAATTTAGATACAGGGGCGTTACTAGTAGTAGAGCATTGACGAAAGTAAAATAAATATTCAAAAATCGTATTAAGTAGAGCAGTATCTAGTTATTCTCTTTCAGTTTGTAATAAATGTATGGACGAGTGCGAATACCGTATACAACTTGTACAACGACGATTTTTATTTATTTATTTATATAAGTATATAACTAGCAAACCCAGCCACGCGTTGCTGTGGCTAAGGTAAATAATATTGTGACTATAAATTGAGATGTAGGCTATCCTATCTTTCAAGTTGGATCAAAATGCACACGGAAAGCAAATCAAATTTAAAATCGGTTTAGTAGTTTAGGAGTCCATCGCAGACAAAAACGTGACACGAAATTTTTATATATAAAGATGTATATATTTTTACACGGAATGCTTAGGTTTGTGTAATGTTGTAAAGTGTGTATGTTGGTTACCTCAAACCACAGCGTTTATACTAAATGCCATGTAGTACTTACAAGTTTAATAAAAGCATTTACCATTTATAATTCTTCTAATAATGGTAAAATCTATTTTTTATTTTTTACTGTTGTACCTGCCCTCTAATGAGTAGGCAATTATTATTAGGTATATAATATAAGAACTTTAAGTATATATAATACCATAACAATAAATTCCTCTTAAGTTACAAAGAAAAACGACAAGGACAAAAAATATTGCAGTGTAAATCTAAAGGTAAAATTGTAACTCATTATAATTTATGAAGAACGTGTATCGCAAATCATTTTTCATTTTCAAACATCAACCATAGGACGCTTTGCAAACTAAACTGAAACCGTCAAATACCCGCATAGGTCACAAACCATCCGCACCTGTACTAGGGCGCCATGTCTGCGAGGAGATCAAGGTTTACACGGTTTTAGACTTTATGTCGATGGAATAAACGTTAAGAAGGAAACCTTCCTCCCGTTGACCTACCAATATCTTCACGCAGAAAAACAAATAAATACAATTTTAGTTAAAATACTTTAATGTAGGTAATTCTTATTTATTTTAATTTTTGATTTTCGCTTTATGAGAGAACTTACAGTTTTGCGATTATACATGTGTAGGTAATGTTTGTATTACATGTGTAACAATATTTGTTTTTTAGATCTTGAGGAAGCCATGCACACTTTTGATGAAGCAAAGAAAGCAGTAACTACTTGCCAGTACGATTATCTGGATTATAGAAATAATGAATTTGACAAAGATTACAATACTTTTGAAGATAAAACAAACGCACTTCGTGAATCTATAGGAAACACAATTGAAGAAAATTTTGCAACAGTATGGGAGACACCTCAGGGTATTAAATTTCTGACCAGATTTGAGAAGGCAAGTAAATCTCTCTGAGTTATATCAACTGAATTTAGTACTTAGCCTTTCAACGTGAGTTACATATAAAAAATATGAAACGTTTTTGTATATTTTAGGTGAGCCAAAAGATCATGATAACGAAATTAAGTGAAAAGTACGACAGGGTGCTAAGATATTGTGAAAAAGAAGTGGATAAAATAACCAAAATGTTCAAGAGGCAGAGGGAAGATCCACCCTTGCCTCGTAATTACTCCCCCGTCGCAGGTCAGTGAGATTTTTTAATGCTAATTATTTTATTGTACCAGGATCGCACATTTTATAGCAAGTTCATCGAGTGCCATTAAAGTTACAAGGAAATATTTACGAGTAGCTAAATGATTAGGAGATGGGAAACTGACTGATTTTTTTTTGTTTTTATGAAAAAAAAAACACAATTAGAAAATAAATCTTATTAATAATATTAAAAACAATTTTAAAATTTATACTGTTTTCTATATTGGTACGATCGATCTAAATTATAACAAATAATATACTTAACTTATTATTTACTATTTATTTATTAATAATCATTTAATACTATTACACTATCGTTTTGTTTTGTACAAATACAAAAATTCAAGTATCGAAAATGTTCTAGTTGGTTCAATAATTTATTACCAACCCAAACCCCAACCCCCGCACGTAGTAGAAGGAGATAGCATGCTGAAGCTATTGCTGTCCTTTACATCGTGTTGTTCGTCAAAAATGACGTCATTGAGTACAAGGGGAGGGGTGGCCAGCGCTGTGACGTCACTATTTTCGTAATAAATACGGGGTGCGCAGCGGTCTCTCGTCCGGTATTACTTGATCAGGAAATCAATAGGATGTTGACCTCTTGGCATTGAACTTTGATGTTTATGTAGTACTGTACCTACGCAGGTAGGTATTAATATAGTTTATGATGATTCTACCTGCGTAATTAGGGAATGTGGTTTATTGGGTTAAGTTATTCCCAGATAAGGTATTATGGGAGTTCAAGGTTTTATATATATTATTAACGTACCTGATATGTTGATTTATGTTGTATATCAACATATCATGACGAATGTTATACATTCGTGTGTATATGTGTATTGAGATTTCTTCTGTAAGTACTAGTCCTAGTATTCTAGCAAATTCATTGGCCAAAAACTGCATTTTTTGATGATTCTATCAAACACAGATAAAAAGTGCAGTCAGATGAATAAGGAGTCTAGGTCACCCATATTTTTTTGTGCTCTGATAATAATAACAAAAGAGGCGTACCAAGGGTTGATGCGATGAAATTGTTGAACTAAAAAGCGGCCAGATGGCGCTATGTACCTATTTAGTATTGTTTTTAAACCTACATTTAAATAACCCTTAATTATAAACACCTATGAATGACGCTCTCCATTTTAAAGTGGAATTAGCGTTACCTTGATTTGGATATTGGGTACTGTTTAGTAAAGATTGCTAATTAATTTGTGAAAAGGTTTATTAAGTATTAATTCTAAGACTTATTTTTTTAATATAACATTTTCATTTTTCTGCTCTTTATCAATTTTTAATCTCTGCTTTTTTAATATAAATGTTTAGATTAGTTATTAAGAAAATAATAATTTATCGGGTTGATGTTAAAGATGAGCATAATGTGGCACTAATACATTCTGTGTTTTACAGGGCGCATAAAATGGTCCCGATGTCTGATGCATAATATGACAGAGACGGTGGAGAGCGTCTGTGCTCACCCAGTTCTCAGGGCTTTGCCAGCGTCTGCCGACATGATGAGGAAGTACTCTAATACCCGTTCCCTCATCCATAACTATGAGGAGACGATGAAAGCTGTATGGATGAACCAAAATGTAAGTAAAATTATTTATTTTACGTTGAAGGAGACACTAAGTACCGCCAATATCTCTAGGCCAATAATAGTGAAATGACTTGTTCCAACAAACTATTTGCTCATGCGGCACTTTCATTTCAAATTGCAATTGAACAACGGTAGACCACATCAACGTCACTTTTCGTTGTAATGTTAAAGGTTTGTAAGCAGAGAAAATTTAAAAAAAAACTTGATTTTATAATCGACATCCACGTTAGCGGAGCCGCGGGTGACCACCAGTTCGATATGAAAATGAAATCTAAAAAGATGCATATCGCATCGACAAGTTCCATTAAAAAATAACCATATTATTATCGCTGATACGATAAGTCATGACCAGTCCCATAGTTATAATCTATGGTTAATGACAGTGACAACCAAAATCGTTTATAATATATTCCTATTTTTAAGTAATATTTTAATTTAGTAAATGCGAAGGTACATATTGAGCACTTTTAGTAAATGAAAATGGTATATAAGAGAAAATTTATAATATACAAGAACCATGAGTAAAGTTCTTTTTATAAGATACAAGAACCATGGTAAAGTTCTAAGCAAAGAAGTTCAAGAATGTTGGTAATTTCTTAGCACATTTATTTTAATTGACCACCATAATAAGCTTCATTTAAAACCGCAAGAGTTTGGCAAGGCAAAACTTAAACAAGCCCTTGTTTGAAAGCTTTTCATCCTATTAATATTATAAATGCGATGCTTATAATTAATATTATATGCGAATGCGAGTCTAGCCATAAATACTGAAACAAATAATTTTTTTTTTCTATTGCAAATAACATTTATTACTTTTACAGTATGTAAGTTTAATACATAAATATAAAACAATTTAAAACATAAAAAGCTTATTCGAAGTGGTATCCATTGGCTGCAATACAGTCCTTTAAACGTTGAGGCCAGTTATCAATAGAAACATGCACTCTTTCCATGGGAAAATTCTTCACTGCCAATCGTATGGATTGTTTTAGGGAGTCCAAATTATCATGACGTTTAGAGCACCCTACCCTACTCTCTAAAACTGACCATAAATCATAATCCAGCGGATTAAGATCGGGATCGGATACTAGACGACGGCCGGTCAGCTCTGATGAAGTCGGAAACGTTCGTTTCCAACCAAGACTGCGTGGACCGAGCTTTATGACCCGGCGCCGAGTCTTGCTGGAAGGACCATTGTTAGTTATTGAACATGGTGTTGTTAAGGGGCTTAACTACCTTCTCAAGAATGGTATTTTGATAAACTTTTGCCGATGTTTTGATACCTTTTTCGCAAAAGTATGGCTCAGTCACTCCTTCATAGCTAACACCCCACCAAACTATCACTGAAGTCGGATAATGCCGACGTTGCACTCTGTCGACTAATTGAGAAGCTTCCTTAGAGCTTTGAGCATAAATACGGTCATTTTGTTTGTTAAAATGTTGCTCAATTGTAAAAAAATTCTCATCCGTAAACAAAATTTTTCTGTGACCTCCCTTTGCGTACCGCTTCAGTAGTTTTTTAGATTTATCACACTATTCTTTTTTAAATTATCATTTAAAAAATGTCCAGTGCGTCTCTTATAGGCTGCAAGTCCTAAGTCGTCTTTTAAAATACGCGACATGGTTCTAGGTGCTATCTTCATCTCCCGAGATAAAATCTTTTGCTTTCGGACAGGATTTCTTCGAATTCTTCCACTTACTGCTTCGACCACCTTTTTCGTACGAACACTACGTGGACGGCCAGATCTTTTTCTGTCACAAACAGAGGAGGTCTCATTGTACCTATTAATAGCCCAGTACACAAACATTTGACTAATGCCAAGCGTGTGGAGAGTTTTAAAAATTGCATTTGGCTCCATACCCACTTTGTGTAATGTATCACAGCGATTCGGTTCTCTTTATCACCCCACTCCATTTTAATATCGCAAAATATTGAACAATTTATTGGCGCCAAAATAAGAAAACACAATGAAAAATTATATAAAAATGACAGGTTCCAAATTCAAATGTAATATTTTGTTTATTTTTAATTGTAACAGTATTTATGGCCAGACTATGTATAAGAATAGTTGGATGAATATTGGCTACTTTTTCTCGTTAAAACTACTGCAAGGATATTAATAAAAATTGGCAGTTACCTTTTAACTGGATATCAACTAGTAAGCCACAAGTCAGTTACTAGCTAATATTTATTAATTACTTTCATAGCTTAAAAATGTCGAGGCTTAAAATTATACTGTGACAGGTACATATTACTTTATTATTATACAAAATACAGAGGGTATGACATAGAGGACTTTAGTTCTCTATGGGGTATAAGTACCAACGACTTTAAAATGTTCATTAGAGATATCTCTTTCGGTTCTGATAATTTGTAAGTTGATGATGATAAGAAGTGATCGGCGGTGGCGCCATCTCGAGTCCTGCCTTAGTCGAGACCGTGATGCGGAGCGAGTGGAACTGGGACTCCTGTCTGTTTAGCAATGATGTTCGGAACGTGTGGGGGAAATATCCATCTCGCATCCAGCCGGTGCAATATCGTTGGGGATCACGTGACGATCTCCAGCCGATGATGTTTAGCCAGAGTTGTGAGCAATAATATACTGTATCGATGTCCTGGAGAAGGAGAAAGAATACCTTGCTCCTTTGGTTTTATGACATTTCATCAGAGACGTCTTTAAATTTGTAGAATTCCGCCCTAAAAAAAAATTTAATCGCATAATTTTTCTCACAGGTTTTTATTCTTTAAAACTATGCAGGCTCAGTAAGTTTAGTTTGACAATGATTAGTTATAATATTACTTCATTGAAATTTCAGTCCGAAGTGGGAACTAACTGATATATTTAAGAAAAGTTACGCATACAAAATGCGGCCTGCTTGTATTATATCGATATAGAAGCTTGCGCGCTAAAATAAGTGCCTCTATGAATCTTAGAATAATAACACTTAGAACGATAGTTCTCTCCTAAACGGTCCGTCAGAAGTGAAGCATGATTCTAATTTACGTGTGCGTAAGATTCTTGTATTTACAGTTGACGTAACGCACACATTAAAAAAAATGTGCTGCCATTACATTTAATTTTCCCCATAAGCAGGGAAGTGATTTTTTGCAGTTATTTAATGCCGCTTACTTTATATAATAAAGAATTATTACGTATCCTGCATGTGGTGAATAATTTTCACATTTTTTTGTGTCTGTTGGTATATGTTTAGTCAACTTTTGTATGTAGACCATGATCGAATGAATCCATCCAATCAATATTATGGAAAATATATTAAGAATTTTGGATTAATTTAAAATTATAATCATTTAAAAATTTAAATTGTAATGTAATACAATTATTAGACCAGTACCCATATTATGTAGATAAGTCCATGACCTCCTTTTTATTTTGCGGACGTATTTCCGTTTCGTCAGTCGCTAATGCACATATTAATTTCTTCTGCGCACACTGTACTTTTGCTTTTAAAGTGTTTAATGCTTCTTTTGTAAAACCCGGGGCACCGTTTATTGTTTTATACCAGTTATAAATTGTTCTAGGGTGCGGGACACTTGCCGTGTTGAAAGTTTTACGAACGTCAATGTATGCTCGTGACGAATAAAAATGCAGAGTTAGACAGAACTTTCTAAATTCAGGGGTATATTTGGGCATCGGTCGTTTTTATATTAAGTGTAGTAAAACATTTTTATTGCTATTATTTTGCATTAGAGTCTTAATCATTTTACTAAGGTTTTTTGCAGTAAAATCTTTGTATTTAGCAGTTTTCGTAGTGAGCTTTGTTCATTCGTTTTATGACCCTTTTTTTTTGTCAGGGGAAAATCATCCAATGACTTCTCCCGCCCCGGACCGGGCGGGAGGGAGTGTCAGACTCTTACTGACTAAAAACCCCTCGTTCCTTCTCCTGCTCTGGGCCGAGATCGCGGTGCCTCATTGCGCTTACCCCGCAACCCCAGCTGAACATCAGCCCTATTGGGCCCCGTCTGTGGTGGTCTATTGGCTCTTTGAGGCGCGGGCGGAACGCTACGCGCCGTACGCTCGTGTCTGGTTCTGGTCGGGCGGCGAGCTACCCTTACTCGCCGTCCGCAGACCCGCGCTTACGGTGGCCGGAGATCATCTGTCGATCCCCGACGCCCGGAATGTCGCCTTCTGCGGCGGCTGGGGCGCGAGGAGGATAGTTCCCTCACGCGCTCCGCCTCCTCCTTTGCGAGCATAACTGCTTCGCAGAAGGAGGCGATAGCTTCCCAGTTCCTCTCGCTATGAACCATGGCCTCGATTAAGGCCGGGCGCGAGAGGTCGCCGCCACCGATCACTTCCATGAGGACACGGCGGTACTCAGCCCAAGCAGGGCACACCGCCATCGTATGCTCCACCGTGTCCTCTAGGTGGTCTTCACAATTCGTTGGAACGCTGCACGCTTAAATTGTTCCGAAGACATTTCTTTGTCTTTCTGTCATCCTAGTACCCAAACACGTCGGTTACGTGTTTCGGGTCCGACCTCTGCACAGATGCATTTGGCGTAAGGCGTTGTCATCGCTCACAAACTCACAAAACTATGCGATTACCTTGTCAGAACATCAGAGGTCTTAATTTTTTTTTACCTACATATGTAGGGCGTCGATGATACACTTTGATAATTGTTGCTTTAACATAAAGTTGTTCATATTTTAAGATTTATATTAAATAAATGTAATTAATAACGCTACCGCTGAAAATACATTCTGTATGTCTGTATGTATCTTCGCTCACCGTATCTACGTGTCACGTCACCTGAAACGGCTGTGTTGGGTCGATACTGTTACTTATTTACGCACTGCTACAGCGTAAACTGAACTTATAAAGAATACGTGTTTCGTAGGACCAAAAGCCAACGATTACTCGCTTTAAACTGTGCAAATGAAGTCTCCTTGATACATCTGATAACCTAGTATTCAGGCACGTCAGCTACGTGTTTCGCTCCGAACAATACAGGAATGCCTTGTTCTATGTACGTACCGCTCATAATAACGCCGCGGGCAAATTTATTTTTATACTTTCCTTGTAAATTAATAAATATCTTGTAGACCAAAATTTGATGGTTTTTTTACGATGTAATGCAAATCAATATATATTTAATACCAGATTGGCTGACTATACGAGTTTCGGCGCCGGCCGGTTTAAGTTATTTATTTACAAATAAAAAAAAAAACATTGTGTGTACAGGCAATTATGCCCGTACACACAATGTTTTATTAAACAATGAATAAATTTAGAGATATTAACTAATTTAAATATTTTCTTAACGCAGTATTATATTTTATTTACTGTTCAATATTTGCAATCATATTTTTATTTATTGGTTGAAGTTGTTACCTACCGCGTGTCGCGTGAGTAAAAATATTTCGTGATATAACACACCGAGGTTACTAGATTGGATGTGCTTGTATCAGGTGATACAAATATACCATAACTTTGCCCGCTTTGCCTATAATTCTTCCTTTTGTAACTTTAGCACGAAGGTTTAAGGATGTTTGACCTTTTTTGTCACAGAATTTTCTTTATTTTTATTCAAGTCAAATAATGTGTCTGTAATTTTTCATATTATACAATTTTTCTGAAAAAAAAAAAATATATTCCTAACCTTGTTTCTGGTAAGCCAAAGCCACGTGTAACTTAAACAAGTTTCACCTTGTGTGTTGTATCCGCACTCTTTATGTTATTTGTAGTGCATTGATTTGCGTGTTGCGTTAGATGAAACATTGTCACGATATAGGTCCTGCTTCCTCGTACGTCAGAAACGAGAAAGTCATGATTGACAGAAAGAGACAAGTATTATTTGGAGTTTTATCAACCCCTAACAGAGAGGGTTGTGGAATTATCAGATTGTGTGCACCACTCTAACAACGATTCGCTACATGATTGTGAGAACAACTGTTGAATGATTCTGATAGCCTAGTAACCTCGGGTTCCAAAAGCAATCCGGAATGCCTCGTGCATGGAAAGAAGAAGACATTTGTGGATGGCCTTGTGAATGGTGGTACTCTTTCAGATAATACATTTTATTAAAGGTGTTCAATTTACTTTTATGCCTGCTTATTTACCAAATGAGTTAAATTTATTGTAAAATTAATAGTTACGTTAATTGCCATTAATTTTCTTAGCTATTTTATAAGTATAAATCGGAAATTTTCAGAAATAAATCAATGAAATGTCTTTTTCCGTCTGTTGAATTTGGGCTAAAAGAGCCAGCTCAGGCTCAGCCAGTTTTTCTATGAGCCCGAATGTACTAGCAGCGCATAAATGCAAAGGTGTCAATCACATTTCACGAACAGTGCTTCGATACAAAATAGGAGAGGGTTCACGCAGGTCGCCGATATGAAAAATTTAACTATTTTTGCTTACTTTGGGCAGGTAGTTAGTTTTATAAAATAATTATGTGGTATTAAGATACTATTGACGTCTTGCTTATATTCATTAAAATAATAGGTAACCCAAATTGTATTGCCTTAAAAATTGTTGTTGCTAGTCAAATGTTTTCAGCGTGTGTGACGTAGCCGCGACGCTACTCGTAAATAAGAGCCCCGTGATGGCTTATAAAACACATAATAAGTCATCCAATTTAAACAACGATTAGAGACAAAAATGGTTCTATTAAAATATCCAATAAGGATCAAATTCAGTGAGTTTTCAGGCTCTTACTCATATCATTATAAATAATAGTAAAACGTTTATACGAACTTAAATAAATAATTCTAAATTACCTCATAAATATCGGTATTTCTTGTAGCAAATAGTATAAATGAAACAAAAAACAAGTAGATTGTAGGCAATATTGAGATGCTACGCCTTCGTAGTAATTGTAACCTTGGCAATGCTACGTCGCGTCGCATGATCACTTCGTAGCGAAGGCGGCGTAGCGGGTTGATTGTGAGCTCGCAAGATCAGAAATGCCCGTTTTCACCAACAGCCCCTAAAATTTAAGTGTCTCTTAAGCCAATATAAGGGACACTTATCGCGAGTTTTGTTTTCACCAACGTTTAAGTGTCACCTATATCATTAGGGGTTCCTTATAATTTAGGGGATGAATTGACGACCCCGTAACGTTTAAGTGACACATAGTGTTAGGTTATTTTGCGAATCACCAAACAGTATTTTATCCTACTGAATAAGATAAAAAATAATAAAAATGGATAATAACCACTATTTATTTGAAGATTTTAAGCAATTGAAGATATGGAATTGTTAAGTAACCGACATTTGTATAGACGACCTCGTATTTATCGTGAAAGATCGAAAGATTTTGAAATATATGATGAAAAAGACTTTTTCATAAGATACAGGTTCCCTGCTCAACCTTACTTGTATTTAAAGAAATAAACCTGTGGCACCGATTAACCAATTACTGTATGGCCTTAGATTTTATGCAACAGGCAATCAATTATTATCTGTAGCAGATCTCAATCCCATCAGTGTATCTACTTGCAGTAGAATTATAAAAAGAGTGTCTGACGCTATCGTGGGTCGTGGCAAAGCGAATTCATACAATTTCCAGACACCGAAGAAAAACAACAAATAGTAAAAGAAGAATTTTACAGAATAGCTCGATTTCCAAATGTTTTAGGATGTATAGACTGTACACACATAAAAATTCAATTATAAGGTTGGGCGTTTAGAGAAACACAGGTCCTTACGAGTAACCATTTATTACTGAATCTCTTATGAAATAATACATGATTTAATAAGATGGATAAAGACGCACACATACAGATACGGCAGATCTTTGTGTCATATTTATTGAGCCTCCAGCGAACACCGTCGGTCGCACACCTATCGTCTTACTATGATGCCTCTTATAATGATATTCAAAAGTCTTTTAATTGTATTAACTAGAAACCTTCTTTACATTTATTCATGTGATAAATTATAGGAGGAGATGATGCCGAACTATTCCGGAATAGAAAAGGCAGTATGTCTATTAATATGCAAACAATAAGTACTGCAAAATTATTAATAACTGATGTGGTGACACGCTAGCCAGGATAAACAACATTCTTTATCTTCAAGTGAAAAATTTTGACCACGTTTCCTCTTTTCTGCCATTGTAATTATGTAATAAAAATTTGGTATTTTTTGAAAATACACGAAATGATTGAAATGAAACTGTCACTGGATAGTGGCATCAAAATGTCACCGGCACCGCGTCTTTGTAAGCTATGGCATTCAACATACAGCCAAAAAATAAAAACACAACTTTTTGTTACTAATCTAACATTCACCAGTTCAAGACTCTTCTTTTCGAAATAAATTGAAGTTAGAAAAGATTTCTTGTTTTAAGGTTGTATATTTACGAAAATAACAATAGAATTGTCTAATCGATTCATTTATCGATAACTGTTTGCATAGTTCCTCAACACTAAACGTCACCTAATTAGGGGGCTCTTAATTAGGTGACACTTAGGACAGTGAAACAAAATTTAAGTTAAGGGATGATTTGAACGGTCCCCTCAGTTAAGTGACCCTTACTAAGGTGACTGTTTAGGGGATGTTGGTGAAAACGGGCATAAAACATTGTGCAAAACAAATGACAAATTTAGCCTATTTGTTAATTACTGCTAATTATTTCCCTTCCGTTATAAAAAGTAGAGAAATAATGGAAAAAGATGTGTTTACACATAAGCTAGATTTCTTTTCCTTTTACAATGGTTAGATAAAAGTTATCTGGGAATAATTATATTGCTGTCGCGTCGGAATGTTTGCATAAAACAGTGACAGCAACAATTTTATTCCTCATATAACCTTTATCTGAATATTGAAAAATCAGCCCTAAGTGTTAAAAACTTTATTTATTATTCATTTTATACATATCTGTCATTTACAGTTGTGGGATGTCGACGACTGTTTAAACAATACTCTTCTAAGAATAGATGATAGTGGTTGCGTAGTGGTCAACCTTGATCACACCATACGACTGCTGATCAGAGAGTCTGATTGCTTGGTCAAGATGGGTGTAGATTTACCTATTGTCTGCCACTCTCTCTACGCTAAGAAGAATTATTTCACTCTCGTAAATGATTCTCTGCAAGTGAGTCTGTAATTCTTATTTTCAATTTTGTATTTATGTTCTATAACCATTTGTTATTTGTTTCATTTAATAATGCCTTTTCTTACAGTTTCTTCTAGAAGATTACCTTCGGACTGTCCGAAGAGTAAAACTTGAAGTACGACCTCTCTTTCTTCCACAAGTAGTGCGTCTGTCTTCTCTTTTACTCCCTGGTCTGCGGTTTGTGGGATGGACAAGTGATGATTGGCGCGAATTCATAGACCGCGCCAATGCAGCTATCAAAAGCTTTGATGTCCTAGTAACTAGAGTCCATGATATATATACCAATCGTATAATATACATGTTAAGTGGAATGCAAGATGTTACATTAATTACCTTACCTGGTGAGTATTTTACTACGACGGTCGATTAACGATTTTTATATTTTTTGAACTAAGAAAGTTGCTGTTTGTGACATAAGAAACATAAGATAAACCTAATATCAATAAGATAAATCTGGCATTTTTGCTGGCGAGTTTATTAAGGCTCAGTTTACTTAAGATAAAGCAAAAATGAATATAGTAATGTACGTATTTTGATGCTTTTTATTCATTACTATTTCGTGATGTTAAATTACAGAAGATACACCTTGGTCTGTAGAAGAATTTATTGAGAATGTGGAAACTGGGTGTCGGTGGGTACTTTTTTATTAGTATAATAATAACAAACTGAATAAGTAAGAATTATTTTTCTTTTGCTTTCATCATTGTTAACCAGGATTGTATAATTTTACAATAGTTCTGAATAAACAGGACACTATAATAGTGTATACGACTGTGTTGTGTATATGTTGTTTCAGTACCGATCAAATAACTACATGTGATTTATGTTTTCCTGGTAGATGTAGATAATTTGAAGATGCAATGGTATCTTGTTCTAGTTGTATAAGATCCTAGTTAACATGACGGGGTATTTCACATTTTTAAGGTTTTTTTTCTTACGTTTACGCATAAAATGTATTAAGAAATACTAAATGATATTATAACATTTTAACACTGGTATGATGATCACTATTTTGAAAACAATGTTCCTTGCAAATTAAATGAAACCTAAATTAATATTTCGCTTACCTAGTTATTTAATTTAGAGTACAGTACTTCTAAGAGTCAATTTTTTTTATTTTGAAATGGTTTTAAATAATTGTGCAGTAAGTTATTTATGCTTGCAAGATAAACCTTCCATGTATTTCTGCTATGCTAGTACTTCCTATACATATTGAAGTTTCGCCACTATGCAAAATACAACAAGATAGGTAAAAAATATACATTTCGTTATAAAACGAAGTCTGGATATTTTTGCAAGTCATTTATATTATTTTTTAGAAATAAGTTGTGCTAAGTACCTACACAATTATTATGTTAGGTACATTTTTGAAATATTAAAATTAAAGAAATACAATTTTTCAGTTTAAACTAACCTAACCGTTGATCTTAACAACTGCATTAATTAATACAGTATGAAATTTTATATTCGAATTTATTTTTCAAGTAATGCATGTGTCGAGCTGAACCGCAAAAGTCTAATGGTGGAAGAGGCGGTTGAGGAAGTCTTAGATTTAGTAAAGAAAGCAGCCCAACAAATCAAACCAACTGAAATCAATCCGGATTTTGAATTTCTTATCGCTGAAGGTAGGTTATAAGTATCAGTTATTTTGATTAAATACCTATGTTTCACAATTAAACATTCTGATTCTGATGAAAAAATACGAACGCATTGATGCACATACTTTCTGCTCCCCTACACTGTAATCAGCACGAACGTAAATTATTTTTCAACAGCAAAATAATTCAACCAGTAATGTGGCACAATCCCCAGCAGCATCCCCAAAGTACGTATACTAGTTGTAGACTGAGTAAGCAACAGCTAACTGCCTTGGTGAAAGCAGGATGGAGAACGTACGAGAAATTGTTCACAACGGTAGTCATAGCACAGTTGCTGGAGGAGCCGCACGTTCGTCTGGTTTGACATTCTGTAAATTTAAACTAACAATTTATTTGATTTCTGTAGCTATATGTATTTGAAAAATAACTAGGCGCGCAGGATAAGAGATAACTTTAAAGTATCTTATGATTTTGAATTGATAACACACGCATACTTAGTTCAATCTTCAGTCTAGACAAGGTAAAATGTCAATATACGTAGAATTAACTGACTAACCTATGCATTTGCGATTGTTCCTATGATTTGAATGCCATTGCGACATGTTTTCCCTAAATATTTTTAATAATTGTAATAACGGCATTGCTAAATACTAATAATAATTTCTCTATATCTAAATATTACTTTATTTACAAAAATAAAACTTTGATTACAAAAGTACTATTTTGTGATGTTGGATATGAACGAACGAAACATTCGTGTATTTATTTGTTTCTTTGTTTTGATCATTAGATTTTTTAACGAAGCTATACACGAATAGCAAGCTCAGAGCGTGAATTATTGCCAATAAACTGCACAGGCTCACGCTAGGTACTCGTACTTGTAGCTAACCACTTGAGCCGCTCGGCGCCACAGTGCAGTATAAATATATTCATGCAAAAGTACTCCTTGAGTAAGGAATCTAGAAACTATAATATCTGGTTAGTTGTCAGATTGACTTTTTCTTACCACAAAAATGGCAAATCCCTTCGTCAAAAAACGTATAATTAAATATTTAAAAGACAGAGAGATAAATATATATCGTATTTATTCTGCCCAATTTGTAAAAAATGCGCGCTTTTTGTCGCCAAAAACATGAGAATGAGAACACAACACACAATTTCAAACAAAATTCACGGAAAAGTATCGATTTTAATAGTTTGAAACAGACATTGAATTGTAGTGGTTGGAAAATACCTAATACTCTCTCTCTCCTCAATATAGCACTTTTGCGAATAAAAGAGATAGGTATGGTTTGCTCGACCCCGGGTTCAACTTCAATAGAAGCAATGTAGGTGTTACATATTAATAAATCATTTCCTACTAAATCATGAAGTCCTGGTATTGGCATTGCTTACATTGTTGATCATATAGCTAGTAGTATGTTTTAATGCCTTTAAAATGTTTAGCATCACGTGTAATCGTTTGCTGTCAAACAGTATTTTTATATGCCCATATTATATTTCTACTATACCTACCGTTTGACTATTCGGAGAAGAAATCGCACGCTTAATCATAAAGAGAAATAACTCAAAAATAAGTTATTTAAAGATTCAATCATAAAACGTAATAACATATCGCTAAGAATATTTACGCTCCAACCGCCGCTCGATTTGAATGAATATGAACGAAATAAAGGACTGTCGCTCTCTTTCTGACTAACGCGCCCGAACAGATTGGTACCAGTAAACGGCTATATTCAGTCATGTGCCAACAGTGATGCAAGTAAGGTGATCGCAAAATTATTTAAAGGGCGAAACATTACGGCATAAATCTTTATATTATTAACAGGTAAGTCTTATTTCTTGTTTTAATTTATTCATAAAGTGAATAACTAAGTCTTATTTCACTTTATTACAAAAAGTATGTCACTACTTTGTGATATCATTTTGACTTATTGCAGTTTAGTTTAAATTTTATTAACGCGTCGTCCAAATTTATACGAGTTATTTCGTTTTCATTTTAAAAGAATAAATATAATGTTGGCACAAAATGACTTATTTCGTTTTAGTTTTAAATTATCGTTCAAATTTAATAATGAAACATGCTTGTTGCTGTTATATGATTAATTGTCGTCAAAAGTTATTTGGGACATTTAAAATTATTTCCCTTTCCATTTGAATAGAATATTTTAATTGTTACTTATTCTATGCATCGTCTGAATAGCCATTTAATGAATTAACATCCAATTAGGCCAGTCTTATTATTATTGTATCCTACCCTAATCCTTATATAAGATAATTTGAAGGGTACAGGGACAAAACAAGGAATGTCACAAAAAGAAAGTTTTTGTGTAGGTAATTAATGCTACATAAAAATATGCGCGAAAATCTAAGTTTTGCTGCTAATACTTAATTTATATTTGATTTTTTTTTGTGACATTCCTTTTTTGTCAGATACTAACCTAAAGCAAAGAATATATACTATTACTTCCGTTCTAAAGCCATTTTTGCCGTAGTGAGGGAATTAATTTAATTATTAATCTGTTTTAAAACGGGTATTAATCGCGTCATACCTTGCTATTTTATTTTTCCGACGTTTCAGCTGAGTTGCATCAGCCGTGGTCACGGGGCGACTTATATAAATTATATTTAGTTTTACATTATTATTGACGTTTAAAAACTGTGACTTGATCCGTTATTATCCGAGTCGCAGACGCGCCTTTTTTTAATTACTGTTAATTTAATATTAAAAACATTATAAATTGTAATTTTTTTGTAGCATGGCGTCTTGGAGAGCAAGTCGTATACTTAAATTGGTATCACCTGATGCAACATCTCATACTCAAGACAATCTGGTGGTTAAAATCGACAATACTATTGTAGAAGATCAACACAGTACAGCTAAAGAAAACGCAGAAAATGTTTCCCCAAATAAAAATATTGATGTAAGTAGCTGTGATGAGATCTTATCAGATTGTGATAGAGATGATCAATTTGCCAACAAAATTGATGCTCGATTTATAAGTTCCCGTAAAACAGATAATAGTAGTCTTACTACACACACATCAATAATAAGAACATTGCAAACAAACCTCGTACCAGATTATGACAGTGATGATTCATCCATAAATGATAATAATAACTTAGAAAACATTGAAACTTGTACTGAAATTGATCAAAGCATTCAAAAAGCACTGCCGAAATCTTCTTCTTCAAGCTCGTCTACATCAAGCTCGTCTTCATCGAACTCTACCTCCTCTGGTAGTTCATCTTCGGATTCAGACAGTTCTACGTCTTCTAAACGAACTAATCAACATTCTGAACAATACGCCAATGGTGTAAGACCACAGAGCGCTTCAACTTCCACTCTACCTGCCAATATTTCACCAAATTATACTGATGAAAGTGATAATATAGACTTAAGTGATGACGACCCTACATTTAATTATGAACTGTCTACCAAACGCAAAAAGAAAAACTATTTTTTTGATGCCACCAAAACAGACTCATCTGACAGTGACGACGATAGTGTTTCAGATTCTGATAGAAAGAAGCTTAGTAAAAGAGGGCGCAAGCGATCTCTAAATCCTGCAAAGTGGAAACAAAATAAAGTTAAAAAGCTACGGAACACTGGTGAATCGTATATATCCATATCGAAATCTCAGAAAGTTATTCCCAGCCGCTGTCTTAAAGTGCCTTGCACAGATAAATGTAGATTAAAATGCACAACTAATATATCAATGGATGAAAGGTATAATATATTCAAAGAATTTTGGGATTTAGGAGACCTGACAAGACAAAGAGTTTTTATAAGCAGTTGTATGGTAGACATAACTCCAAAATATAGGTACACAAATGCTACAAATCCCAGACGCCCAAATAAAGCCTATAATTTTACTGTTAATAATAAAAAAATAAGGGTATGTAAGACATTTTTTAAATCTACTTTGGATGTTACGGACAGAATGATATTCACCATACAGCATAAAGTAAGTGACGGTGGCTTTATGCTTGAAGATTTGAGAGGGAAACACCATAGCCACAAAACTCTCCCTCCTGAATTGATTGACGACATACGGAAGCATATTCAATCCATTCCGAAAATAGAGTCACACTATGTGAGAGCTACTTCTACCAGAGAATACATTGACGGTGGTAAAACTATAAAGGATTTGTATTCAGATTTTGTTAAACAACAAGAAGAAAATAACAAAGAGACAGGAAATTACATAGCATACTATAAAATATTCACTCTAGAATTTAATTTAAGTTTTTTCCAGCCAAAAAAAGACCAGTGTGATTTATGTGAATCATTTAAAAACAGTACTGATGAAAAAAAGAGAGAGCTGGAAGATAAATATAATAAACACATAGAAGAAAAGTCATTGAGTAGAATAGAAAAACAAGAAGATCGTAAAAAAGTTACCAAAGATAATATAGTCGCAATTTATGATTTAGAAGCAGTGCTCCAATGTCCAAGAGGTGATACCTCGGCATTTTATTATAAATCCAAACTTAACAGTTACAATTTAACATTAACGGAATTGACACAAACGGAGTCAAAAACGGCATATGATAAAGTACATTGTTATTTTTGGACAGAATCAGAAGCTAAACGTGGGGCAATAGAAATAGGAACTTGTGTATGGCAGTATCTTGAAGGGATATGTGAATCAAATATAGAAGAGAAAAACGTTACATTTTATTCTGATAACTGTTGCGGACAGAATAAAAATAAATATATCGCAACATTGTATTTATTTGCTGTGAACACGTTGAATATAAGAAGTATAAAACACAAGTTTTTAATCACAGGGCACACTCAAAATGAAGCGGATAGCGTGCACAGCTTAATAGAAAAAGAGATAAAGAAAAATCTTAAATCAGGGCCCATTTACAGCCCTGATCAGTACATAGCTTTAATTAAAAATGCTAAAAAAAGTAAACCAGCTATAAATGTACACGAATTAACCTTTGATTCCTTCGTTGATACTAAAATATTGCAGGAAGAATGGGGTTACAATTATAATACAAATATGGACGGACAAACAGTTAATTGGAATAATATAAAAGTATTGATGATGAAAAAAGAGAAACCATTCAGTATTTTTTACAAAACTTCCTACAAAGATGATTGTTTCCAAGAAATAGATGTAAGAAATAAAAGGAAGAAGATGAAGCTCATAACAGAAATTACACTAAAAAAGGCTTACACGGAAAGGCAAGATATAAGTCTTAATAAAAGAAGGATTTAAGAGATCTCGTCAATAAAGGACTTATTCCTCCTTTTACGCAAATTTTTATAATTCGATCATTAACTAGAGTTACTTCATTGATCTCATAATAATTCATTAAAATTTTAGTGATTTTGTTTGTCTATAATATTTTTAGAAACATCGTTTTTTTTTTGTTTTTATAATTAAGAAGAGTTTTAGTTTTGTTATTAAGTATAACTAATATTAGTCAAGTATAACATTATGATTGTTTAACATTGTGATTCCACGTTTATTGATTATTTTTTAAACATATTTTTTTTCACTTTTTGCCCCAGCCTGGGTTTGTGATTAGGTACCTCCCTGCCTTAATTCAGTTAGCCAAGTCATTAATGTCTTGTGTTATATTACTTTCGTACTTTAAAATAAAAGAATATTTCTAATTATGCGTTTCATTACTATAATATTTATTGATATTTTTCCGTCATGTTGTAAGACAAAGAAATATTTCGAATTCTTGTAAGAAAATTATTACATTTATTAATAAAAAATTGAAATAAAGCTTACTTAAGTTGAATAGCTAAACAAAATTTTATTAATAAAGAGATATATTATGTTTTATGACTAATAACATTTAAAATATGCACGTAGATTTTAATCATAAAGTGAAATAACTAGGAACTTTTTTTTTAATGCATCATCTACTAGTCAATAGTAAATAAAATATACTTTTATATAGCACTAAACAAAAACCAATAAACCCAGCTTTCCTTTAAATCAGTTTATTTCCTTATAACACGTCTAAATTAATTTTAATACGTAAACAAAGTTCAACCCAGAATAGTTCTAAACTTTAAACTGGCATATCCAAAAAATATCAATTTTGATATATTTCTTTTTTTGATTAAGCGTGCGAAATGTAAAAAATTTTTGAAGTCAGTCTCATAAACTCCTTATGTAAAATAATGTAAAAGAACCGTGCAAGTTCATTCTATAGTAAGTAGTCTTTTGGGGAAAGAACTACACAAGCTCGAGTGGATCCTCCTGACGGCAGGCACGCAAATGTCGTCCTTCGTTAGTTAAAGCTATAGTGCAGAGCGACAGATCTGGAAACCGGTCTCCTCTTACTACGAAGTAGTGGCTCGCAAAGAAGGAGGCGGAGCGCCAGTCGCCGTAATAGGAGACACTCCGGGTGTCGGAGATCGCATGACGGACTCCGGCCATCGTAAGCACGGGTCTTCGTATGGCGAGCAAAAGTAGGTCGGCGCCCGATTAGAACCAGCGCTGAATGTACAGCGCGCGCTGCAAAGAACTAATAGAACACCTCAAATGGGGTCCAATAGGGCGGATGATCGGCCGGGTTTGCGGGTCAAGCGCAGTAAGGACCACAGCTTCGGCCTGAAGTTGGAGAAGGAACAAAGGGTTTTTATCAGTAAGGGTCTGACAATCCCTGTCGCCTTAGTAGCGAGAGTAGTCATTTGATGATTTTCCCTCACAAAAAAGTCAGTTTATAACCAGTTCATGGCCGCTGCTGAAATGTCCAAGCAACAATACTGACCAAGAGAACGTTTGAGTAGACCGCACAAATGCTAAAACTGTGAGAACATAAATATTTATTAGTAGGTAGTTCAAAAGGGCGAATCAACCGAAGTCACATGGTTCTTAAGCTAATATGAACTAAGTTACGCTACTCTACCTAACGTGACACCTACATGTGCTATCTTTACCATCTGTAGTTTTGACTTAAATCCAGATGTGAAGTTGATGGCGTTACATTACAACTTCTTTAACATTTATGTTATCCCAATACCAGACTGCTACATTGTAGTTCTCGTAACCTGAGGACTGACTGCGCCTTCATAAGAAATGGCTACACAATAATTGATATAAAATTGAGTATTTTTTATCAATATACACAATAAACTGACTCGCCATTGATGGTTATCCAGCCAAACCGAGGAAGGCTTCTTAATTAATTAATTATACAGGGTGTAAAAAGACACTTAACGAAGCCGTTAACTACGCATACTGCAGTTCTAACTAAGTAGCTTTACGCTAAAATTATCACTGGGAAACGACTCTTATATTTATTTATCAAAAAAAAAAAATTGTATTGCGCGCTATGTAAAGAAAACGGGCTTCGTGTCATTGTGTGCGTAGGTTCACAGCTTAGCATTAAAACGCTGTGATAAGTACGTAGGTCGACGTTTTACTTCGCAACAACAAAACAATTCTGTAAAATAAAAATCCTACTGAGATGCACGATGTTTTTTGTGCGGGTCTGCATTTATTTATTACGTACTTTACTGTTCGTAACTTCAAATGCGTAATTTATTTAGAAAAATCGAAAATTCCGGTAATGTTTGTTGGTAAAAAAGTTTTGTAATAATACTTAGAATTCGATTGCGCAAAAAAATGCATCTTTGACCTTCAATATCTCGAGAACCTGTGGAGGGACTCCACAGGTCCTATGCCATGCTATGGTCTTAAAGAAAAAAATGATCCGAATAATGGGTAGAATACGTGGCTTTCGGCTTCGTTAAGTGTCTTTTACATCCTGTATTTTATAATTATTTGCGTAAATTTCAGTCAGGTAAGATTCTGGTTTCTGTTATGTTATCATCTTTTCGAAATCGGTCCTGTTTTCAATAAAATGAATTAGTAAAGAAACAAAATAACACTATGATAAACAATTTTCTAAAAATAATATACAAAAGCCGTTTTTAATTTTATTACTTATTCCTCTTAAATTAGTTAACACAATACGAAATTAAAAAGAAATTTTACGTAAACATTTTTTACTGATGATCCCGATTTAGTTATCGCAGTTACACAGTCACTTGGTACAGATAATATCAAAGATGTTACATAATCAACAACGTTCACGAGAGTGAGGGGCGTTCATTGTCCCCATGCACTCGTTCTGGAATCAATTGCTCATTGAATAAGGTTATGTAATTTGAATGTGTGATGTATATGTTTCTACGTATGTGAGTGAGATAGTGTGAATGATTTACATCCTAGAACTCATGGAGCCCTGGTACAAAGAGAATGCGTCTGTCAAACGTAGATTTATTCGACATCGGCGTGCCACGACGCATCATTTTTCAGTTGTATTTAATAAGTATTATTATTTTTGGGTGTCCAATGATAGTTAAGGTTTTTTATTTATAATATAATTTGAAACTTTTTAGTGTTTATATTTAAGCATTTTTAAATTAGATGGTTTTATACAGATAAACATGGCTCATTAGGATACATAATAGTTTTTAGAACCAGGTCACGTAGGGTGACTCTCGTAATAAATGCAATTGCACTTATTTATTTATTATCAATACAATGAAATATCTATGCTTTGATTTTTCTAGAAAATTTTGAAAAAAGGAGGATGCTGTTTTTTGTCTCAAAAAATTATGACGTCTCAAGTCTGTAACTAATACAAAAGCAAAGGAAAATATAGATTTCGACATTTTGATAAAAAAAAGATTTGTAGTTGTTAAATTAAATGCTGTTCGTTTTGACAAAGGCTGGACCGACATGGTTTATACACAGACAGAATTTCTAATTAATTTTATATAAAAAAAACTTGAATGCCGTCTATAATATTATGGATAGTATTCAGTGCAGCTACAGCTATAGCAGCTATAGTTATATATAATAAGGTGGTATACTTATGACGTCAAAAAATGGTAACAAGTTACTTCGTTTCAACTTCAACTCGTGCTGTCGCATTTTTCCTTGAAGTTTCATGCAATATTGGCCACACCCCCACCACCCACAGTGCACCGAAACCTTCCACCCCCATCTCTTCTACCTATATGTGCATTTTCTTTATACATTTATATTTTACTTGTGAATCAGACACCACTTAGAGGTTTATTATTTCCTGGTAACTTTGATGCGGCCAATGCACTTGATTTCAATGCAATTTCTTAGATTGCTGCACTGGACATGGCCGTCGGTGATACTGCTATACAGTGTCCCGTATTATTGTCAGATAAACTGTAAATCAACTTAATATGATGCTAAACAGAAATACATATTAAAAAGTAATATTTTAATAAAATAAAATATTTTATTTTTTAATTTTGTTAGATGGGATTATTGTACTTATAGTATTTTTGATTTCAAGATGTCACGAAAGAGAGTGTGTTTAGCGCGAGCCGTGGATCCTTACTTAAGAGCATAATTATTTGAAATGTTAACTTTTATTCACTTTTAGTTATCTTTTGCAGCTTATAAATATTTATATACTTACTTAGTTTTGTTTTAATTTAATTAATATAAATAACTAGCGGCCCGCCCCCGCCTCGCACGGGTCCAACTATCTCGCTATCAAAAGGTCACTTTTTCCTAATCTTCCCCACTACTTTTTCAATATTTTTTGATAAGAAACTTCACCTGACTATAACAAACACAACAAAAAAAGAATTAGCAAAATAGGTCCAGGCGTTATTGAGTTATGCGCTTGCCAACACATTTTGCGATCAATTTTTATATGTAAAGATAACATATATAGAAACATTAAAGAGTAATAAACTATTTTATTATAACGTTGGTATTTTAAGAAGTCGTACAACTATGTCCTTAGTGCTAACTATGTAATAGAAACACAGCTAAACAAATAAGTAAAAAACAAAGAGTATTATATAAATCTCATTGTTATACACTGTTTTCAGAAACATTTAAGATTATATTTTTTAAATAAAATCTATAAATGTTCCGGCCACGTTGCAGTGCGATGATCTAAGAGATCACAAAGTGGGCTTAAAGATAAAGCATACAATTAATATCCACTAGGTACTATTACTGCAAAATATTAATATCGTAATTGTTATCATTACGTTTTATTCATGTCTAATAGATAAAAAAGTTAAAATAATACTATAAATAATTTATATTGATTATTACCTGAGTGAGAAATAATGACAACGCGCGAAATGAAACCATTACGAATATATCTGGCCAATGTTTCAGCCAGGTATTACATATAAGTATTTGTAATGAAATCCGATTAAAGATGCATTTTTTTATGATTTAAGTAATGATAAACTTTCGGTCTCATAGTCTGTGTGTTCTACGTAGTAATCATTGAGATGTAGTTTTCAAATATTTCACGCCTTCTTGGCACAAAAACTGTTTTATTTACGTTATGAAATTATACATTCTCGTTTTTTTGTTATCCTAGTACGTTCCCTCTGTTAAATAACTACAATCGGAGCGCACCGACTACGGTGACCCAGACGGTTCAGCGTCAGTACGAGTAGTGCAAGCGTTTGCTGATGTAGTAGTGTGAAATACAGACATGCTCGTCGATGTTCTATGTAGTTCGAGCTGAATACATCCTACCGTTTATGTTACCCTGTTGGTATAAACTATTGCATTTATTATTTGCAATAGTTATTAACGTTTTAAACAATAATTAATAGTTAAACAAAGTTTTTTCTTTATACTGCACTGCTATCAACCGAACTATGAAAGTTTTTAGTAACCATTTTAAAAAGAGACGTCGAATGTATGCTGTGGCATACAACAGAGAGTTCTAGTGATATTTAAATATCAAGTTAGCCAACCGAATTTTGTTTTTAGAATAGGATAATCTTATTACTAAATCCAATTTATGAAAACGTTCGACGAACATCTTTAAATAGAGCTACTAAGATTGTAATCTTGTTAATTATGATGCTATTTTTTATTTAATATGATTCTATTATTTGTATATTTATATTTATTGAATACATATTTTTTTATTGAATTTTAATAAGGTATTGTATTTTTAGATGACAGTCAAGTGGGCAGTGGAGCTACCTCAACGGTTAACGACTCCTCATCAAGTGGCCAACAGGACTGGTCAGCAGTATGGGAGTGCTTCGAAAGTCCTCATCGGTTGCTGTCCTTGCCCGCTGGTGGACTCTCGAAGAGCATGCAGGTAATTTAACGTACTGGTATACCATAATAGATTACTTCTTGCATTCATCTTCCTCATTTATCATCACTTACGCATTTAATTCCAAATAGAGACGGCGCTGATAGTTCTTGGACTGTACCTACCTTGCGCAAACTCCTACTATTGAAACATAGAATATTGTGTTCTGATACCAGACTCAGGCAATTTGAAATTGTAAGACTTCTCGTGTCCTTCTGGCCGCCTAGTATTGGAATACTGCAAAGTATGGCAGGATCAATACCAGCTCTTGGAGCACGTGGTACGCAGCCACGCAAGTGATGTTTCCGTTACCGTGCTGCATTTTAGATATTTTACATTAAAAGAGTAACAGCTAGTTATGAATAGGTACGTATAGTAAATTATTATTTTTTATATTTTCAGGAAATGGTGAAGAATGCAGTTAGTGAGATGCGCCGCTATTATAGTCGAAAAGTGGTTGATGTACTAATAAAGGTCACTAGAAGGACACTTGACCTTATTATCAAACAGTTCACCACCGATGCCAACTCTGCCGAAGGTGAAATTTTTTTATCGGAATAATTTAATATTTTTGTACTCTACTAAATTATAATTCGAAAATAACCCGGATCTGGAGATCCAATACTCAATTATTGTTTGAATAATATAATATACACATGCATAGATTATGTGACCTCTTTTCTCCAAACGTATGGTCGGAGATGCGTTATTTATTAATATTTGTAATATTTTTCGCCTATTTTGCCAATAAGAGAAAATTCAATAAGCAATAATATTGCTCATTCAATCATTTCAGTTTATCTTTTAAATTTAAGCTAAGTATACTAATATCCAAAAGACGGAAATAGTTCATTCATAGTCACATACTCCGTTCTTCAAAAATCATCATAAAATTTTGCCCTTTTATATCCGTATTTTCTATAATGACGAATAATTATCTGCCAGTTAGCAAAGGCTTGGAGATTTAGGGATTAAGGAGGTATGGGGGCAGGGATAGGACTAGGCCTCCGGTAACTCACACGGCGTAACACAGCGCTGTGGTTATTTCACGCTGTTTTCTGGGAAGCTGTAGTATCAATCCAGTCGAGCCAGCCCATTCGAGCCAAAGCTCACATTTAATTATAATGTTAGTAGATAAATAATAGATTTGATCAGTTTAGGTACATCATTGCAATATGCATCTTGCTAGCTGCACCCTTTAGGAAAAAAAGACAGTTTCTTACTTATGGACTAATCCAGTGTAGTATGAGTTAATTTTGTTACACTTGTAAGTATTCAAGTCTTTAAAAAAAACTAGCATACTGTTATTAAAACTTGTATGTTTTCAATATCCATCCTATCAAAAACACATGTAAAATCATTTGTAGAAGCTCAAATGCTAAAATATTTTTATTGAATTTAGTCCAGTAGTTCGTCATGATAAGTTTTTGTGTCATCGTAACCAATGTTTCTGTCATTATTATTTAGAAATCAGCATAAAACCACGCTTGGTCAATATAACCTTACCACTACGTGGTTCGAACACAAGATACAAAAACTATACGTGCAAAGGATGCATATGATTTTCAGCATTTACGTTTACGGTATTAATACGATTATAGCAAAACGATATTCTGGTGGTTATTACGTTTCAATCGCAAAATTATTTCAGTTCTACTTGGTAAAGCTTATGGGTTCCTAGTATGTCGCATCGTATTTTAGCGAACTTCGCGGGTTAACGCAGGCGTAACAAATAGGGAATCCATCCGCGTCATCCACGTGCCAGAGGGGGTTAGAATCAGTTGGTTGGTTGGTTGGTTGGGTTCATTACTTTCTATCGACTGGGACCTATTTTATGAATTATGTAATGTATCTAGTAGCATATAAGCCTGATTTTTCCCTTGAACTCGATACACACTGAAATAACAACTTTATTCCACAAAACGGTAGGCCGTGGATGTGCCGTCGCTCCAAGCGAATTAGATAAAATCATGATTATACTAATGTCATTAAGGTTACGAAATTCCTAAAAGGCTTGCTGGATTTCCTAATTTTAGCGTAATATTTCAAGTAAGATATAAAGGTGAGCCAGCCTTCGAAAGTGTTGGCCGTGGATCCAATAGATTGCATTGTATGTTACTTGCTTTACATTCCTTCGCTCCTAGTAACTTGTTCTCTTACTTTGTAGGGGAATAACGGACATGCGCGGTCACGAACTGTGGGAATCACGCTTAACAACGCTTGACAATAACCTTGTTATTACAATCAGTAATGGATATGAATGCAGATAAAGAGCGATATTTTAAATCAAATAAATAATTTAAATGGATACTTTCAGAAAAGGAGGTTGGAATTTAGGCTATATAAATAATACTTAAATATCGCTTCCTGTGAAGTGTAAAAAAATGTGCGCAAGGATTTATTTTAAAAATTCCATGAGTATTCTGGTAAATCATAATTTTTAGAATTTTTAAAGTTTCGGGATTATTCTGGTCAATTTAATACGACAATTCGCGATACGCGCCATTTAGCAATTGCGCTCTCCGGCCCGCCGCATTAAACCATTGATTTGAAACTTGAATACAAACCCGCACTTTCGTGTGACTTAAAAATATTTTTATTCATCGTGTAAAACATAATTTTGGTAAAAAATCCTTCAATTCAGACAATTTCAAAACAAACAATAGGGTTCGCGTGTTGTCGAAGTTGTCACATAAGTACTACAAAACAGTAACGTGCACAGAATAATATACTTTTTGCAAGTAGACAAAAAGTCTAGTATTGTTAAATTCAATTCTTGACTACGCCGTTTTGTTGCAGAGTGCTTTCAGCTCTAATACTTTCTGGGCTCCTAGTATAAAAATCGTAGTCCGACAGACGCGGCGTAGTAATTTTCACGCAAGCGTAATGAACGGCAGTCCACGTGGACCGCTTGAGCGGTTTGAAACATTCGGAATTTTCCGGATAGTTGCACAGCTTAATTTATTCGATTTGTATTGAATATGGGACACAACATTTTTATTACATAATAATTGTACCTAACATAGCTTGGTTTACCAAATTTTATAAATATTTTTTTAAACATTGTGGTTTACCTGGTTAATAATTTTCACGCTAAACGCCCGATGGCTCTGTCATCGACGAATGACGTCAGATTATTATTTATCCTTACATAGCTAAAAAGGATACCACTAACAATAAGATCAATTACGAGGTCGAATTTGTTAATATGCGTATTGTGATTTCGCATTCGCTATGACTTTATTCGAATTTCTTAATCTGACCAAGTAAATAATGAATCTTATCTTAGCTTTAAGCTATAATTTTCTATACTATTTCATTGGTGAAATAGACAATATAACAATATGTTTAGAAATAAATTAACCAATCCTATTGTTGCGTTATATTAAATATGTAAGATCAATACATTTTTTCAGAGTCACAAAAGAAACCGCTATTCTTGCTACACGCTTCTCTAATGATACCTAACGTATCAGTGACACCTACTCTTGATGATATCCAAGAAGTCTTACTGCTAGCTGGAAAGCATATATCTGGACTTTCGAAAGGTGTTGCTCAATGGACTGGAGGAAAAACTTCAAGGGTATGAACAAAACGTTACATATACAAAACCATTTTTTACTACACGTATCTAGTACTATTTTTATAGTACTTTTTTGTAAATTTATTTTCAAGTTAGTTGTATTCAATGATCTCATGATTTTTCATGCAATTATTTATGTAAATATGTACTTATATAATGAATAAATTAAAATACTTTCTCTCTCGCTAGTATTTTAGTGAATTATTCTCTTAATTAATAATCACAAATATACTTTTTATATTTCTATTTAAAAGTTATAATAACTAAAATGGGATTTCTTTTTTTTCCCTACTTGTGATGTTAATTGTTTTGTGTCGTTTGTCGCGCTGCACAATGTGTATTTGACTGTGTATATGTGTTTTTGTCTGCAATATGTGCTTTTGCGTGATTCATATTTTATTTGCTGGCACTTGATGTGGCTTTGTAATTATTTATTTTACGCTGTGAATATGCCTTGCGTTCTGGCTTAAATGTATATAGGTGAGCTGGAAGAAAATCGCTCGTCCTCCATCGAACCCGCTGTTAGACGTTGTTACCAAGCTTGACGAACAGGTCCAATCAGTCACGGCTCCGCCGCCCGCCCTGAAGTCCACGAAGATGGTCGACATGGCTAAGATGAAGAGGAAGAAGCATTACAGGCTAGAATCTGAGGAGAAGCCACAATTTCCATTTCAACAGAAGAACTTTTACAGTTATGTTATGGAGAATAAGGAAATCATAAAGACACTGACTTTGCTGTCATTGTGTTCAGCAAATGTGAAAACAGTACGTACGTTTGTGAAAAATATGTCACTCGTGGCAAAAGTACCTTTATTATATTAATATATAAACATAATTACATATTTTCTAAACATTGTAGGAAGTGAACACGTTGGTAAAACGATGGCGGCCGTACCATTACTTATGGAAATGTGAGAAGACTCTTCGTCAGTTACTTGCTTGGAATCTGAACGATTTTGAAATATCGTTGAAGCGTCACAGTGAACTTGAAGCTAAACTTGAATCAGAACCTGATTTCTTGATTATTGGAAACTGTCTTGCTGTTTCCACTGAGAAATTGAAATTAGGATTAACAACTGAACTGAAAAGTGAGGCACATGACTATCATTATCATGTAAATTAAATTATTAAGAAGATTAGCTCAAAAATTACTTAATATCATTTTAAATTTCCCAGCAAACACTTTTTGGTACATACTGTAGTGATAGAGTGGTCTAATGGTAACTGTAAGGTCCTTGGTATCTAATATTGCATTATTTTTAGATGGCACACACAGAATAAGTCAGGCAATGCGCAAAAAGTATAAGAGAGAAATGGATTATGTTTACGCTATTATGAATGATTTGGATCGTAAACTAGAAAGACCTATAAGAGACTTGGATGATGTAAGAACTGTCATGGAGACTCTCAAGAAAATAAGAGAACAAGAAGTCGATATGGAACTGAGAATTGATCCCGTTGAGGTGACAAAAATATTATTTAATTAGAAACATCAACAACCGTATTAATATGACAGTATGCAAAAAACAGATATTTTTACAAAAAATAATTTTAATTTTAATTCTAGGAAGCGTTCAATATAATCACCCGATATGACTTGCCTGTCAGCAAAGAAGATTTGGAACAGGTTGATAACCTACGCTACACCTGGCAGCAGCTACAAGCTAGGGCATTAGCTTCACACTTCTCACTGTTAAAGATGCAGCCGCAGCTTGAAGATGATCTTAATAGTAATCTGGATAAGTTTAGAGAAGACAATTCAGAGTATGTCCATGAATATCGCTATGCAGGCCCAATGCAGCCAGGGTTGAGTCCTAGAGAAGCGTCCGACCGACTGATATTGTTCCAGGTTATTTGTTATATTTTAACCTATGTTGTTGCTAATCTATGACATATTTATTTTAAAATTCACGTTTATTATGTAGAACCGCTTCGATGGCATGTGGCGTAAGCTACAAACTTATCAAAATGGCGAAGAACTTTTTGGTTTGCCACACACCGAGTATCCAGAATTAGCTCAAATCAGAAAAGAGCTGAATCTTCTACAGAAACTGTACAAACTATACAATGACGTCATAGATAGAGTCAGCAGTTACTATGATATCCCTTGGGGAGAAGTAAATATTGAAGAAATCAATAATGAGCTCATGGAGTTCCAGAATAGATGCAGAAAATTGCCAAAAGGGTAAGACTTAACACTTTCCTGTCCGTGTCGAGGTACTTTATAATTATACAGAATTTATTTTACAGACTGAAGGAATGGCCTGCATTCTTTGCTCTAAAGAAAACTATTGATGACTTTAACGACATGTGCCCACTCCTGGAGCTAATGGCCAACAAGGCAATGAAACCGCGGCATTGGCAACGCATCATGGAAGTCACTAAATACAACTTTGAATTGGATAACGAAGACTTTTGCTTGAAGAACATTCTTGAAGCGCCCCTTCTGCCCAATAAAGAAGACATTGAGGTACAATAATGTTGCTACAGTTTATATTTTTATTTCAGTACGACTTTTTTATTTTTCCTATATTTGTCTCGTTTTTAATTTTTAATGCTATTGTAACCGGCCGTAGTATATTATAGCGCTTGAACCGCATCTAAATGTAATATTTAAATCGTTGACATTAAAATTCCTCAAATTATAACAGCCATTTTTGAGACACATTAAAAATACATTTACTTCCTTAGGGGTCTGCGATTACGTAAACCAGGGGTTAAAAACTACGAACGAAAAACGGCCTTACTGATAAGTTCCGAACTTTTGATTGCGACACGTATTGCTTGTGCAATAAGGACTCAACAACGATGCTTTCGTTTCAACAGGACATTTAAACTTGAGCTCCATTTAGTTCATGCTCCTCTAGTATCCAGAAGGCTGTATTATTGAACCGTGTTCATAATATTCTGTCTTCTGGAACGAACTAGAGTATCAAACAACAGAGATTTGTGATTAGCTAACAGTTCAATGTCTCATTGATAAGGATATAATCCGTGCTATCCGTAATAAGTATGTGGGAGAAATTAGTAGTAAACAACAGTAAAAAAAGACAATTTAAATATTCATAACAATTTATTAAATAATTTGACCATAATAAACATATCTACTAATTATTACGAACCAATAGAAATATATGACGTGACGTAAGGCATAAACATTCATAACATCACATAATATCATAACATCACATAATATCATAACACCATAACATCATAACATTATTACATCACATATTACATAGTAACAAAGTAAATTAGCAATATTACCTGACAGTTCAGAGCACTGTTGTGCCGTGTCCGCAGTCGAACAACTTCTGATCCGTCGACAAGTGTGACCCCTCTTTTATACTACTATTCGATAGTGAGTGGGGGTAGAAGTAGAAGTCAAATGCAATACTTTCATAAACCGGAAGTTGGTTAGAAAATACATTAATTAAATTACAAAAATTTGTTCACTCTCACACGGCCATTCTGACGAGCAGCCTATGGCTCGCGAATAAAACCATTAACAATCAGTGCTAAAAATACATTCAAAAATTCTTAATAATAAAGCATTGGTCAAATCACATAACCGCAACGCCAAATCACATGGCAGTTAAGTCTGGTCAAATCACATGACCGCAATGCCAAATCACATGGCAGTTAAGTCTGGTCAAATCACATGACCGCAATGCCAAATCACATGGCAATTAAATTTGGTCAAATCACATGACCGCAACGCCAAATCACATGGCAGTTAAGTCTGGTCAAATCACATGACCGCAATGCCAAATCACATGGCAATTAAATTTGGTCAAATCACATGACCGCAACGCCAAATCACATGGCTCGGGTACGATTGTTAGACATGACCATGACCGTTGGCCAGACGGTCACCGTTACGCCGAACAATTTCCCAAAGGGAAAACTTACATCAATACATATTACAAAATTTAATTAAAGGTATCTAATGAGTCAGTCAATTCACATCCCATGTCTGGACTGACAATTCGCATATTATCATGAGAAACATATAACTCATTACCAGTTTTATGAACTCTTACTGTATATCTATCATTGTCATTTATCTCTGTAATGACGCATGGACCTCGAAACTTGCTGTCAAGTTTGTTAATTGCTCTCGGATTTTGTCGAATCAATACAGTATCACCAACTTTAAAGGGAACAATTTTAGCCTTAGTTTTATCATAATTAGCTTTTTTAGTTTGAGCAAGCTCGTCCATCCTGAGTTTTGCTTCTTCACGGCATGCGTCGAGGTCCAGACGTTCGACATCATTTAGTAAGGCTGATATAGCGGGAGGAGACTGATCACAGCCCATGAGAAGCTGGAAAGGAGTATGGCCTGTACTTTTACTGAATGTGCTATTAATTGCCAACTGCACTTCGCCAACAGCATCTTTCCAACTTCTCCTGGATGTATTCTCTACAATTGTAAAGCTGTTTGTTAAAACCTTCATCATTCGCTCCACTTGCCCGTTTGCACGGCTTACACCACTAGCTATGAAATGTATCTCTATAGACCAATGTATCTCTATAGAAACTTGAAAATTCTCTTCCGGTGTAGGAAGCAGCCTGATCACAAACAATACGTTTAGGGAGTGCCAAAAGTGTAAATCAATTCTTTTAAACAGTTGACGGTCGCCGCTGCTTTCAAATTCGTAACAGGTTTTATAAAAACGAACTTTGTAAATACGTCTATAAAGACGACAGCGTATTGTTTAGTAGGCTTATTACCGCTCAATTTGCCGGTCGTATCTATGTGGATGGTATGGAATGGCGTCGGAGGCTTATCTATTGGGTGTAGAGTAATTTGTCGGGAACCAGATTGACTTATTAATTTTGCAGGTCAGACAATTGTCAACGTACTTTTGAGTGTATTTAGACATATTAGGAAACCAAAACTACTCTCTAATTTTTTCAAGAGTCTTTTCCCAACCGAAGTGCTTAAGAGAATCGTGATAAATTTGTATTATATGCCACCGATAGCGTTTTGGAACAAATAAACGTTTTTTAATTTTGTTACCAATGGAAACTATACGGTACAGTAGACCGCCGTGTATTTCATAACTAGATGCTACACTTTTATCAAGACTGCCTTGTTGGATAGATTCGATAATAGTTTTAGTTTCAGGGTCATTATTTTGTTCTACTTCTAACCATTCACTATAATTTTGGACATTGCTTATGTTGACAGTTGTTGGGATGGGGGCATCTAGAAGAGCACGGACTTTACCCGGACTTGGTTTAACTCGACCGTTAGAGACAATTCTACCTGAATATTCAATCTCGTTTTGCAAAAATTTGCATTTCTTAACGTTAAGGGAAAAACCGGTTTTTTGAAGAGCATCTAAAACTACTTTTAGACGCTCAATACCTTGATCAACTGTTTCAGAAAAGATTACAACGTCATCAATGTAAATTAAAACAAAATCATCGACAAATTGTTTAAGTGCTGTATTGATGGCCCTTTGGAAAACAGAAGGTGCATTACAAAGCCCAAATGGCATACGTAGGAATTCATACTGCCCGTCAGGAGTGACGAAAGCAGTTTTCTCGATCGAGTCCTTGGCTATGGGAATTTGGTGAAAACCCGCCGCCATATCCAATACGGAGAAGTATTTAGCTCCAGATAATTTACTAATATGGTCATCGATAATGGTAAGTGGAAAGTGATCGCGGACGGTGTTGCTATTTAATTCTCTGTAGTCAACACACATTCTGTCGCTACCATCCTTTTTACGCACTAGTAATATGGGGCTCGCAAAGGGTGAATTACTATCTCGAATGATGTTGTTATCTTTTAGGTCTTTGATCAAATTCTTGACATGATCACGTTCAGCTGGAGCCAATCTATAGGGCCTTCTTTGAACTATTTTATCTGGGTTTTTTAATCGAATAGTCAGTTCGCCTGTTGTTACTTGCGAAACTGCATTGCCAGATGTGAATATTTCAGAATAAGACTGTAATAAATTATGTAACTGTATTTTAATTTCAGGACTTATATCAGGGTTAACGTCAACCATGTCAAGATCAAATTCCTTTTAAATACAGTTAATATTGTAAGAATTGCGACAGACCTTAACGAAATTCTTTGAAAAAGTGACCTGAATTCCCGGGACATCAAAAAGATTCTGACCAAGTAAAACATCATACTGCATGTATCTGTCGGGAACTAGGACAAATTCCAATTCAATATTGAGGCCATCAATACACACCACACACAGTTTTATACGTGACGAACGAAAAGAATTGTCTCCAACGCCTCGTAAAATTAGACTTTTATACATGATTTTACCCTTAATAGAATCACCTATACTTTCGCGCATAAGAGAGCATTCCGCACCACTGTCTATCAGACACGAATAATCGCGATTTTCGATTTTGATCGAGTGCAAGTTTTTACTACTCAAAACTAAACTATTTACATGAGTCGATTTTTTTCATCTTTCGCGTTCTTATTTAAGCGTTGAAAACAGTTTTCAAAGGTATGTCCTCTTTTTTACAAAATGTACAGGTGTTATTTTTAAGGGGCTTTGATTCAGCAGGTTTGGATCCGTCGGAAGTAGAAGCTGGATTCTTTTGAGGGCTGCGATTAATTGAACCCGAACGACAATCTTTCTGTAAGTGACCTAATTTGTGACATTTGTGACAACGCTTGGATGTTACATCTGAATTAGGGACATTTTTTAACCGTTTAGATGGAACAGTGTGATCAGACTCTTTCCCAGGCCGTTTACGCTTATATGAATTAAGACTTTAAATTAGCTGTGGCAAAGTTTTTGGTGTAAGACGAAGCAAATCAGAGCGAATACGAAAATCAGACATACCCGAAATAACTGCTTCAACGAGACGTTGCTCAGTCATCTCCACGCCAATCGCCTTCTTTGCCAACTCCCATTTTCGAGTTGCGTACTCAGCTAGGCTGCCGGCTTGCTCACTGGTGTATTCCATGAACTGCGTTAGATCATCGTAGTAGCGGGCTTCATCTGCAAAGGTTTCAATTAAACCTGTTTTGAGTTCAGTCCAACTGGTTAAAGACGAATAATTGCGACGTGCCCATTCAGCGGCCCGTCCGCGCAAATTCTTCCGGGTTAGATTAAGGATTTCTCGATCAGAAAGCTCGTATTCGGTTTTGAGGTCTTCAATATTTCGGCACCAAACTTGTACAGTATCGGTCCGATCATCGGGATCAAATGCAGGGACATAAATATGTTCAAGACTTCGCATCCGCGGGGTATGTCGCACATTTGGTGGATTAAAGGCTTGTGCGGTGGTACGGATTAATTGCGTCATCATTTCCTGCATCATATTTTGCATATAGTTTAAAGGTACAAATTCTACTGTCCTTATGTCATGACCATCCGTGGATCCGCCAGGAACGGTACCGCCATTAACTTGAGACGTATTCCTGTGGCTGGTCGAATTATGCGGTACTTCTTGGCCCAGAATTGGTGAAGAGCAGCTGGAGGTTATCCGCTT